ATTCTGCAGCCTGCAACCCATAAAATCTTTATTTTTGCAGTACATTGACGTATTGCTACTGATTGTGACAATTAATTATATTTAGACTTTTAATTTTGTTTACAAAGTAATGAAACAATTCAATGTGCTCCTTTAAAAATTCAATATTAACGTCTTTAGTTAATCAATATATTAAGTAGTACTTGTAATTAACAGATTTTACAACACATACTTATGAAAAATATAGGGCAATACAAACAGGAATTTCATATAACTGTATAATCTTGAATTCGTAACAATGTTTAAGCAAAAAAAGAAAACCTTAATACTTGTCAAAGAAATTTCATAGAAATTTATTAATAAATATATAGGCACTTAATATTCCATATTATTTCATATATTAATAAAATTTTGATTAAGGATACTTCTAAGAATAACGATTAATTTCTTATATGAATTGATTTTTGTCTTACATCATACGTTAATGTGCGCTCGTTATCTCACATAGTAACAAAAAAATTTTTTAAATACAGGGTGGTAAAGCATACATTTTTTATTATATTTTACATTGTTGTTGCTGCGTATTTTTTGTTTTTTGTGACTTCCACATTACTTTCAAGTTTAAGTTTGTTATTGTAGCACTGTGTTTTGTTAACAAATTGGTCTATATGCAAACATTGAACCATGAAAACCCACGAGTATTCAAAAAAACACTGTGTTCACAAAATGTAATAAAATGTAAGATAATTTTCTAAATACTGCAATATTCATAATATCCTTGAGATCAGTCGACAATAGCATCCATTCTGTGAATTCTAATGTTCTTTTTGAATTTCGTATTGAACTCATGCGAATGACAACGAACGGACGAGCTATTTGAATAACTTAAATAGTTTAATATTTTGTGAACAGCCAGGATTTGCCTCAACTGATAAATTCCTTCTATAAGTAAGATTTTATTTGTGTACTACAAGTCCAAGTTTTAACTAAAATACCATAAAATTTGTTCGTTATCCGGGCTGTGACAAATATATATAATATTTCGGAGCTTATTCTAGGGAACAAATTACTCAGTGATAGTGATACTTACACCAAAAGTTTGATTTTATTATTATTAACCCATACATATAAATTTTTACGATAAAATATCGTTTTATATCTCAGGATAATTTCCAATGCCTCTCAGTTAAATAACAATAATTATTTTTATTGTTTTCAGGACATATCAATACCATCGATTGTTTTTATTTATATTTTTAATTAAGATAATGTCAAAAAAAATATTTTACTTCTAGAAACTATGTTTGTTTTTAGATGCCCCACAAATTAAATTTTTATTCAAATCAAACGATCTTTGAATTAATGCGTGCCCCTTTTTATAAATTAAACATTTAAAAACTGACAACCGTCTTTTGTATTTTATTAACAACATATTGTATATATTATACGAAAACGGTATAAAAAAATATAATCTGTTTTCAAATTCCACATACCTGGTTGTTTTCCATTAAGTTAAAAGACAAAATTCATATTTAATTCAAAATGAAACCTTTTAATTTAATCTTTAAAATAAAAAATGTCAATCAGTTTAATTTTAAAATTTTTTTCTTGAGAAATTTATATTATTTTTAATATTTTTTTGAATTCTCAAAGGTAGTCATGTCGATACTCATTTTTGCCTGTCCCCGTTCTTAATCTTGTGAAATACTTAATATAAATTATTTGTTTTTAAGAGCCTTAATTCTTCAAATTCAAAGTCACTGTCAAAAATAAAGAAAAAAAGGTCGCTCTTATTCCAAAAACCTAAAAATAATAGAATATGTACATTTATACATACATACATATGTGTATTCCTTAGAAAATTTTGAATAATATTTAGATTATCATTGTGATTTCCACAAAATTACCCACCCTATATCTCACATATAAATATACCAGTTTTCCATGAAACGAACATATACAACAATAACCAATATACAAATTATAACTTCTACGTATACGTATCAACGTAAAACATACATACATATATATTTGTACATACTACATGTATTCTATAATTTGGATGAGAATGAAAATCTAGAAATCTATTTACATAAATTATTACCAGATTTTCATAAGATAATTATAATGGAAGTATAACAGTTTTATTTTTGTCTTAATATCCTGTTTAATATCAAAATGTTTTCCCTGAATATACTCATACACATATTGTATAATATTTACATTTTATATATTTATATTCACCTAATTTTGAAATGATATCAATATAATTTATTTTACATGTAATGTAAGTAATTTAGCAAATGTATATTTTTAATAAATGTGATGCTTTTTAAGTGATATGCTTCCCGCATTTAAGTGGAAAAATTGACTGACATGACAATGAATTTATAAATTGATCAATATAAAATATTTCCCTACTTCTTGATTACTTCTTTTTAAGGTATTTTGTTTGTTATCTATTCCTATTTCAATTAAATTTTAGTAACAATTCGAGAGTGTTCTTAAAATGTTTCAATTAAATACATCAGGCAATACGAAGGTTTATGGGAAAGGATAGCTTCAAAATCTGAAATCAATCAAAGTTGTAATACAAATTTTCCACAATTTCCTGCTATGGACGATAAAAACTTTTAAATATAGAAGGGATGCTCGTTAATTTGGTAAAATCCAATGTATAATAATATGATTGCAGCCATGATCAAAATTGCCTATAGGAATTTGTAAGTGGGCGAAATTTTTTTTATTAGGAGACTAAGAGCATTTAGCGAGAGCTGCAAAAATCTTTTGCTTAGATTGATGAATATATTTTAAAAAAATAAAATCCACTAGCTAAGAATTATTGAGGCTCCTTCTCATCATAGTTCATAAAACCAGACCGGAGAAAAATTTAATTTTAAAAATTTATCCTTTAAAAATTTAATAAATATAATCATGTACGTACATACATATATCATCATGAACTTCAAAAGTTTTTAATTGCAATTTCAAATTTATTATGGTAACAATTGTAAAAGTTATTCCTCAGAAATTTATGAAGTTTCAATAATTTTTCTTTTTATTTTAAATAAATTGGCAAGACTAGTGTTGTAGAATCCCCTATTTAAACTTTAATTCACATTCTCATATGTTGTTATTAATGCTGTTATTAATATAGCTACATATTTCGAGAAACGTAACAAAAAAAATTGAAAAGTATTGTGAATTCTTTGATATTTATAAGGAATTTGTGACTCTAAATTACTGAATTCTATTTATAGAACAATATATATATTCTATTTGTACATTAAAATTTATATTTATTCAGCCAGAACTATTCATTTCTTAGACCGTTTCAAAGTAAAACATTGCTAAATCTAGACATTAAATAACATAATTATTGTTTATTCAAATATAATCGGCAGTGTCAGTTCTATGACTATCATACAAATATATTTGAGAAAAAGCTTTAAATTAATTTACGATCTGCCGATCCTTTATGCCTTAATTCAATTTAACTTAAGTAAAATAATAGCAAACTCATAATATAAACAGAAAAAATTAGTAGCTTGGAAATAAAATCGCAGTAAAATAAAACTAGAAAAAAATATCCGCTACAATAGGCGAATTTTTTCACAATTTCATTTATTTAAGCTTTTTGCTATGAAAAATCAATTACTTAGTATTGATTGTAACATTGATTTTAGTCAATGAGCAACACAAAATTATATTTGCAACACTAGCTCTCTAAAATGCAATGCCAAATTGTCACATTTAAAATATGTAATTGTATTTTGTTAACGCATTTGAGTAACTTAAAAATATTGCATATTTTTCGGGGTCGCATACATTTTTAATCATTGCAAAGTCATGTAATTTTTTAAAGAAAAAACAAAAATCATAAAGAAAAAACTCACTTTTCTTTGTATATTCTACAATTATTGTAATGTGAACAGCATGTTAATTCATGAAGTTATAATTACATTATACACGCTCTAGAAAAATTTTAACATTTTTTGTAATTGTATTCCATTCTTATTAAATGCATGTTCCATTAATTTTCGGTCACAAAAACGGATTTTGAATGCTGTTTTTGTTTTTTTTTTTTAATAAAATACTATAATGTTTAAATCCTGTTGCAAAGAAGTAGAATATAATTCAACTTACAATTATTGCACATTCACTTTGTTCACTTAAAAGAAAAACTTATGTAATTCATAACTGCACTTTACATTCTTTTTATTACATTATTCAGAGTAATTTAATGCTAAATAAAAAAAAAATTACAATTATTATTTTTTGAAGTTATTCAGTGACATAGATTCCGGAAAAAGAGATTTAAGAAAACGTAACAAAAATTCATGAAATTTCTTTACACATAAAAAATTAAGAACAGCATTTGACATTTATTTTTTCAACTTTTTTCCATACCGTACATATACGTATATTACGTATATTAAGAGAATCATTAAATGGAAATGATGATAATAAAGTCCATCTCAAATATAACTACATTTAATTTGAGTCATAACTAACTTAATGTTATTTTTAGTGTATAAATGACACGAACATCTGTTGAAAGGATATTTTTGTTTCTGTTTCTTTTTTTTTTTAAAAACAAAACAATGTACATGAATGTTTGTTCTACTTCATATGAATAGAAGAGAACAAGTATATAGAAAGAGAAAAATAACATAGATGAATCCCTTAACATTAGTCCAAAATGTTCTACAATAATTTTCTAATTTCATGCTATCCTTAATTTTCTTTTACTCTTTCTGTTGATGGGGGATGTATCCTAGATTGACGTGCCTTTCTATTATATATACAAGTTTCTACGTTTTGTTTTGTTCTGTTTTTGTTTTTTGTTCTATATTTTTTAAGAACCTGATAAAAGTTTTTATTTTCCTCTCAGTTTTAATTTAAATATTTTTCTTTATAAAAATTTTTCCTTTTTTTTTCTTTGTGTTTTGTCTTTTACTAAAATATTGCTTTAAAATTTTTTATTTTTTGTTCATTTTTTTATTATTATCCTTTGACAGGAATCTCATATTCATCTAGTAAAGTTAACTCGTTTATTAAGGTTAGCTAGACTTATGCAAAAAATGGATCGATATTCACAATATACAGCAATGATTTTAACATTATTAATGCTATGCTTTTCACTGGTTGCACATTGGTTAGCATGTATATGGTATGTTATAGCAGAAAAGGAAGGATACTATAATGATGATGATTGGGATATAGGTAAATTATATATTTATATATAAAATTTTTGTTGCATATAAAATTTAAATATAAGTTAATAATATTTAAAAGTTTAATTTTTTTTTTTCAATGTTATTTTTTTGAATTCTTCATATTTTTTAAAGGACATTAATTAAAATCTTTTTATGATTTCAAAATAAAAAGAAAGAAACTTCTTTTATAGTAACATAAATTGCAAAAATATTTTTATAAAATTTTTTCTTTTTTTCCCCCTCTAACTTTTCTAATAAAATTTTAGAATTTCCATGGAAACTAAACTCTTATTCATTAAAATTGCATAGAGTTTCATTTTGAAAAACTTTCAAAAACAAAATTACTATTTTATCATTTACTACATTTATATAGAATTTTTTTTTCTAGATTATAATCACTTCGGGGTGATTGAAATAGAAAATCTAATAACTTTAATCTACGGAAAATAACTATATTTTAGAAAGAAGGATATTAAGTGGTCGGTATCATAAAACGAATGCAGTAAAACATTGCTTATAATTGCTTGTACAACACATTTGAATCATAATGAATTGCATCCTGAAGGTTATAAAGTATTATTTAAAATGTAAAATTGTTAAATTGCAATTATAATGAAAATTTCTTACAATAGAAAAAGTTCGTATGCTGCTTAAATATTTTTTTAATACTTTTTTAACACATCCAATTTGAACAGTAATGTGCTTCAATGTAATAAACTGCTTTTCCGACTTTGTTCAACAGTATTAAAAATTCCAATCAAAGAGATATACAGTTTTTATTTTGTTATACACTATTGTAATGAAGTGAAAGTTGTTTCAGAACAAATCCCATTAAAAAATTTGCAATTATTTTCTTTAAATCCTGCTTGGAATGAAACTCAAAATTTCCTTTTGTTAATTAAAATTAGCAAAGCCATTTATCAATTTAAATATGTGAAAGATGAAATAACTTAAAAAAAATTAGATGAATTCTCAATATTTTAATGAAACTTGTAATTAAAATAAAATTATTACTAAAAATGGAGAAATTTAAAAGCTACTTAAATTTTTAAATACGAGTTTTTGTGTGCAATTAAACTTTTTTACAAATTTCTGTGGAATTCACATACAGCATAATATTTCAGAATTATCAGAAATTCCTCTAAAACGCTACACGAAATTTGTGATTACTTAGTGAATTGAGATACTGTTATAAAAGTATAACAACATTAAGAGTCAAGAGGCTTAATATCGCCATAAAGAAATTTTCTTCTTCCTAAACCATACATATATTATACATATAATATGTTTGTGACATTTTCCTATAAGATATATAGCAAAAGTACTTATTAAATTTACTATATGCGATTTGAAAATTTGCAAAATTTAACTTTAACCTGACTTAAAAAATTAAAAACTTTTTAAACTAACAACTATTATTTCATTCGTTAAAACTTTAACATTTCCGCTACAGTATTTAAACAGCAATGATACGTATACAAACACATATACCAAAAAGGTGGTATTAATTGAGTAAAAAAAAAGTGAAAATACGAACTTTATTTGAATTCGTAGACAGGATATACGAGTATAAAAAGTTGTCGTGAATCAAATTACAGTTCCAAGTTTTTTTTTGCCTTCGACTTTTTGTTGCTGTGATAAATTTCTCCATAAAATTTTATTTTATTTAGTGTACCTAAATATGCTTTTTATTTTATAAAAGGCAATTATTTTCATATAATTTTTTATTTATATTCTTTTTTTTTGTTTTTGTATTTCATGACTTTACACACACATACAGGATGGATGCATGCACTTGCTGAACGATTAAAAGTACCTGTTGACAATATAACAAATGTTGAAGCATATGCGACAGCGTTATATTTCACATTTACAAGTTTAACATCAGTTGGTTTCGGTAATGTTTCAGCGAATACAACAGCAGAAAAAGTTTTTAGTATTATTATGATGTTAATTGGAGGTATGTTGAATATAAAATAAAAAAAAATTATTAATATGAAAGAAAAATGAAAATTTTTGAAGCGTGAAAATTATGTTTTTCTAAGTCTATATTGGGATATTTTTGTTCTATTATTGAAGGCAGAGTATAATATATACAAGAATGGTATCAAATGCTAATCATATAATTCGTAACAGCAGAACGGAAATATAATACTGTTGCATAATATGAAAATCAATTTTAGTATATAGTTGCAATTATCATAAAATTTAATTACTATTATTACTAAATTTTTTATGTTATAGCCCATGTTATTATGTTCTGTTGTATGTTAGATTATATTGGTATTATTAAATGAAAATTTTTTAAAATCATTTGCATAAACGTACATATTTTTTACATATTAGTCTTACAATGAAATAAAATACGTGATGATGACCGAAATGCCATTATGTTAGCGAAATGAATTATGTATAATACGAAACCTTCAAAAAATGGACTAAGTCATATTTCAGTTATTTAGTGAATTATCCTTAGTGTATGACTTATTCAGATTAAATTGAATAAAAGGAAATGATATTATACTCTAGTATCAGAAAATTCCATCTATAACCATCATTAATAAGACAACTCCATCAATTCCATAAACTCAAGAGCAGTTAGCAATACTTCCATTAATTTAAGAGCAAAAAGGAAACAAACTAATTTATTCCAAGTAACGAAAAGCTGACCCTTTCATCAATAGTATTTTAAGATTTAAAATTAAGTGCAAGAAATTTTTTACGAAATTTAGTGCGACCATAATACCTTTCTTATCATATTCACAACGCAGATTGTAAAAAGATTATTAAAACAGTTCTAACCAGCAAATAAAATTATTTAAACTTTATGTATCCTAAAGTTGCTTAAGGTTAAACAACTTTCTATGTTTTACAATTTTTTTTTTGTTACCATGGGAAATGTAACATAAAATTATTGTAACGACGTACATGTATGTTTGTCAGTTCCCAACTTATTTGAACAAATTAATGTAAATTTCGTGAAATCTACTTTAAAATGAAAAATTTGAGATAAAATTTAAAGGATTTTTGTTTATTTTATTCTTTATTACATGAAAATAAATACATGCTAAACAAACATAAGTCGTGAAGTACGTATATACAATTAAATCAAATTAAAAAGTATAAAATTAAAAATTTAAAGTGTGCATTGCGAATTATTTACATTACAACACAATATTTAAATTTGCTTAAAATTTTAGCAGAATATTGAATAACATCTTGTGACTTACGACTGCAAAAATTAATTTGCATAGGTATTGAGAACTATAGAAATTATAATATTCATACTTCTATTGAATATTGCATACTTCTAGGATAAGCGCAAAAACTGAAAGAAGCTTTTATAATGATAGGAATTCTATTGATAAGTAAATGACAGTATGACACAGAACTTTCACTATTTATGTGATTATTTAATATACATATACAAAAGAGAAGGTACTTGCTAAAATTTATAGCAACTCATAAATCTAAAGAAATTTGTTGCCAAACATAGAAAATTTGCTAAATTTGATGATTCAATTATTTGGTATGAAGGTAGATAAAAAAATTTGTTCAAACAAAATCAATCATTTATTAATTCCTTTAAACTCTTTTACACTTAAATTTGATCTGTAACGAACTGTTAAGGAGCTTAAGTATATGTATTTTGACCTCTCTCATGGAAAATTTATAATTTTTGTGCTTTAACATCAATAAATTTATTTATCAATTTAATATTTTCTTACATAAAAATTATTATAAGAAACTAAGATTTATTTCAGAGAATATTTTAGCTAAAAAATAATTTTAAACTTTTCCACATTCTTTATTTTCATAATACACCAACAACAACAATCGAACAGCTCTAATGCATGCTGTTGTATTTGGTAATGTTACTGCAATTATTCAAAGAATGTATTCCAGAAGATCCTTATACGAAAGTAAATGGAGAGATTTAAAGGATTTTATTGCACTACATCAGGTATGTTAAAGTTTACAAGTATTTTTGTTTTTTTCAAAAATGAGCGTGCGTGTGGATGTGTAATAAGTATTTCTTTAGAACACATTTGTATACATAAATATAATATTTATGTGATATAATATTTTTATTGTATTGCAATGAAACATGCTTCAAGTTCTAACTTTTCTTTTTTTTAAAAAAAATGAAAATTCAGGGTTAAATATAACAAGTATTTAAAAAAAAAGTAATAGCTCAGTTGTTTTATTCTTTACTCTTTTTTTGTTGTTAGTAAAACCTAAATTATTGTTATATACTTAATATACGAGCATTTGTGCAAGGACATTTTTACATTTTTAACCTTTTGTTCCCTATTTGTTATTATTATAATTACAATATGAAAACTGCGAGAATGTAGAACAAAAGTTAAATTTACATTAATTACAAAAATACAAAAGATTTGATTGTGTTCGTGTTTAATTAAATAATTTTTTCGACAAAAATGGTTTTTGAAAGTAGTTTCTAATTATTAATTGGTGTTAAGATGGTTAGTTAACTGATATAACTACTATAAAGTAATCAGTGTTACAACTAGAAAACTTACTAAGCTATTATATAGATTTCCTACCCAATAAACTACAGCTAACTGAAACATGGAACTAAATCGATAACTAAAACTGTTTTAAAATATTTTACAAAATTTCAGGAGATTTGCTTAACTGAAAAATTAAAACAAGAATAAGAACTTCTCATTTTGAAAATAAAAAAAAAATCAGAACTACCTACAAAATACATGTGAACATTTTATTCTGAAACATTCCTTTTTTTCAGGAATTGATAAAGCAGAAGGTTCTTCACTTTATGCAATAGCATACAAAATAACATAAATAATTTCACATCCAATAACAGCTGCATGTTCAACTTGTAACCATTTTCGAGATATTATCTAAAATTTCTTCTAAGACAGCCATAATTCTCTATAAGCGCACATTTACATACTTACATCTTTTACATTATTAATACATATACGAACACAAAGTACGATAAAAGAAATAAATTTTGAACAATAATACAAAAGTTTTTATATTTCTTGCAATAAGAAAGTTGGTAACAAAGAATCTTCTAAAAGTGATACATATTTTAAATATCCACATAATATTATAAAATGCATTGGCAAACATGTAGTCGAAAATTATGACAATAGTTTTCATTTGCATATACACTCGTAAATTGAATGTAATTTAAACTAATGTACAATTTCTAAGTATCCGTGGGTTGCTATACATTTATAAATGCATGAATAAAATTTATAATCTCAATAAATCATCTTAAAAAATTTAAATAATCATTTAAAATTATGGAATGAGATTTTCAATTTATTTTTAACACAAAAAGTGTATATCACTTTCATCAAAATTTATTCTTGAATATGGAAAATTAAGGATTTCCACTGCTGCTCTGTAGAAAAAAAGAAATGTAATTTACTAAGTTATTACAACGCTAGCTTAAAATATAACATTTATTACTAACAATTTATTATTTCGAATAAATTATAAAAAATAAATTTTGTAAAAATATTAAAAAATAGATTACATGATTTGGAAAATTTTTATAAATTCTCATTACAATAATATTTTCTCTTTTATTGTTGGTATTTATATCAAGAAATTCAAAAATTTCTTGATATAAAATAAAGTTTGGTCGTGTGTTTGCAATATGTGATACGAGTATAAAATTCAATACTAATGTAATGAAAAGTGAACTTTATAGTTAAATGACTTTAAAATTATTAAATTATTCATTCATTCTGCTTTTTACCGACCGTATTGTGTAAACAATAGGTAGGTTATGTGATGGCAACAAATTTTGCATATCGAGTATTCGGTGGAAACGTACTTCTCCATAGTAGGGAAGTGTAAATAAACTATTTTTAGCAACCTGTCGGTCTGTCGGTCTGTCGGTCTGTGTGTGCACGCGTGTATCTCAAGTTCGGCTGAACCGATTTTGATGAAATTTTATATGTAAGTTTATTTCCACCATGGCACGGATTGATCAACTTTTGGTATATATCAGGCCTCGAGAACTGCACTTTTAAGCGGGCCTGTTTTACATTTTTGAACATTTTGAAGAAAATATTTAACCGATTTACTTGAAATTTTATATATAAGCTCAGCTCGACAGTCCGCGAAAATTCCTATGTTTTGGAAGAAATCAGGCATCGGCAACTAGACGTTTACTACGGGCCAAATATACACTTTTGTGTATATAAAGGGAAATAATCAACCGATTTCATTAAAATTTAATATGTATATGAATTCCTCGTATTAAAACAATGAACATATAAATTTTTTGGAAAGATCAGGGCTCGAAAACTAATTTGCGGGCCGATTTTGCATTTTTCACGATTTTGAAGAAAATATTAAACCGATTTACTTGAAATTTCATATATGAGCTTTGCTCGACCGTCCGTGAAAATTTCTAACTTTTGGAACAAATCAGGCATCAGGAACTGGACGTTTACTACGGGCCAAATATACATTTTTGTGTATATAAAGAGAAATAATCAACCGATTTTATTGAAATTTAATATTTGAATTCCTCGTTTTAAAACAATGAATATATAAATTTTTTGGAAAGATCAGGTATCGGCAATTAGACGTTTACTACGGGCCAAACATACACTTTTGTGTATATAAATAGAAATAATCAACCGATTTCATTAAAATTTAATATATGAATTCCTCGTATTAAAACAATGAACATATAAATTTTTTGGAAAGATCAGGGCTCGAAAACTGATTTGCGGGCCGATTTTACATTGTTCACCATTTTGAAGAAAATATTCAACCGATTTACTTGAAATTTCATATATGAGCTTTGCTCGACCGTTCGTGAAAATTCCTAACTTTTGGAACAAATCATGCATCAGCAGCTGGACGTTTACTACGGGCCAAATATACATTTTTGTGTATAGAAAGAGAAATAATCAACCGATTTTATTGAAATTTAATATTTGAATTCCTCGTATTAAAACAATGAACATGTAAATTTTTTTGGAAAGATCAGGGCTCGAAAACTGATCTGCGGGCCGATTTTACATTTTTCACTATATCTACGGAACGAGTTGATGGAATTTCTTGAAATTTGATATTTGAGTTCTGGTTGTTACCGAAACTTACTGGCAAGCATTTCAGGGAATTCGGGTAACACAAAGCGAAACTCTACTAAGAGACAAATTTACATTTTTCTAGGTATGTTAACTATAATCTTACTAATGTCCTAAAAATTGGAAAGAAGTATTTAAGAGACATTTTTATAATATTCTGTAACACTTTCATTTAACTAGACAATACACAATGCGGTCGGTTATGTGCTGACCACATCAGATGTTTTAATTTGACAAAGCAACATTTAATATTATGACTATTAATATTTGCCTTGAGCTTTAAGAGAATTATTAATGCTATATCATTCTCTATCTAGTACTGAGATTATCAACACCAATACTGATTAATTAATAATTTTCAACTGTTTTTTACTTTCTTGTAATATAACTGTTCTATATACATATAAACTTAGTGAATTGAAATTTTAACTTTGAAATTTTAAAACATTAATCTAAAATATTAAAAACAACATCATTTCAAATAAAAGAAACGCTGATTGCCTGTCGGATGACGGTGAAAGCCGTCTCCACGTTAAACACACCAAAATGGATTCTAACAACAGATTTGGTCCATTGAGTCAGCTTTCAGATGATGAAAATGAAGCTGTTGCAGATTTTACTCCAAAGCAACACAAGCCACCGCCAGTGAACATTACTGGTAAATCAAATACCGAAATTCGTGACCACATGGCACAACTAGGTATTAAAAACTACGCAATTAAAAATTGCAGTATAAGCACAAAAATTCTTGTAAACACTCTGGAAGAATTTGATTTTTTATATAAAGCACTTGTTAACTATAACTCTAGTGTGAAAGATGATACAAATAAATGGAAATTTTTTAAACATCAAAATCGTTTAAATAAGCCAATTAAATTAGTATTATACGGATTGGATAACTCAATACAAAGTGATGATTTACTAAACGAACTACAAAATCTTAAAATTGAATGTTTTGATGTTAAAGCAATGCAAATGAAAACTGAGCGATATTATTGCCAACAAAATTTTTTGATTTACATAAAAAGAAACAGCATTACTTTAAAAGAAATCCGCACAAAAATCAAAGCTATATTTCACAGAATTGTAAAATGGGAATATTTTAGTAAAAAACACAAAGGCCACGTCATGTGCTTTAACTGTCAAACACTTGGTCATGGTGCTAATTACTGCCATCTAAGTACTGTCTGCGGTATATGTGCTTGTAAACATAAAACTTCCGAATGCCCAGAAATGAGCAAACCGACCGACGAACAAAAACTGAAATGTGCAAATTGCAAAGGTCAACACAAAAGTAATTTTCTCCAATGTCCAGAAAGAATTAAGTATGAAAATATAATGCAATCCATTCGAGAAAGAAATAATAAAAAGCAAAACAAAAATCGTTCTCATCAATTAAATTTCAATAACAATATTAACATTAGCGACACGCATCACTTTCCAATTCTCTCATCAACTTTGAGAACAAATAATCAACAATCAAACTTCACCAACAAGAGTAACAGAACTGTTAATTCAGTATCATACGCAAGTATTGCAAACAATAATTATAATAATTTTCCTAGTTCAAATAATTTATATAGTAATAACAATGTTAATTTTCACAACAACTCTAGTTGTAATAATAATACTAATCTTACTAACAATAGTACAAATAATGATCTCTTTACTTACTCAGAGTTATTGACTCTCTCTCAAGAACTTTTAACTAGATTGAGAGATTGTCAGAATAAAATAGAGCAATTTAATGTTTTAACAGAACTAACCTTAAAATATTTATTCAGTAATGTTAAATAATAATATTCAGAACTTAAAAATAGTTTGTTGGAATGCTAGAAGCATTGTCAACAAAAAAATTGAATTTTTAAATTTTTTAAGAAAATATGATGCTGATGTTATAATTATAACAGAGACTTGGTTAAGAGAATCAATTGTTGTTGATTCTGTTTATGATATGTATTGTTGTAATAGGACTTCTGGAAGAGCGGGAGGGGTTGCCATAATGATAAAAAAATATATTAAACATGAAATTTTGCCACAGGTTAGAACAAAAATATTTGAAACAATTTCTGTTAGGGTAGATACGGGTACAATGCATATTGACTTTATAGGTGCATATTTTTCAGGTGGTAATAGTAACAAAGAAAAACTAAACAGCTTCAAAAAAGATTTGGAAGTTTTTAACAAATTAACTGGCAACTATATAATTGCGGGCGACTTTAATTGCAGGCATGTAACATGGAATTGTGTAAAGAATAATATTTGGGGTAAAATTTTAAATGAGAAATTATTTAATAGCAATTTTAGCTTATTATTTCCTGCGACTCCAACTTATGTGCCCACGTCGGTAAGACAGAAACCATCAACTCTGGATCTTGTTCTTTGTAACATCCCTAATTATATTACAGCTCCTTATACCGTCAATGAACTAAATTCAGACCATTTGCCTGTATTATTTACCGCTAATCGAGTAGCACAAATTATTGAAAAACCAAAAAGATTTTTATTTAGAAGGACCAATTGGAAACAATTTGGAAAGGTTTTTAATCGGGCTATATCTGGTACAAATTTTGCGACAAAACCAATTACCAAGGAACAAATTGAGGATTCAGTTGTTAAATTTCATGAATGTTTGAGGGACACTATTGATAAAGTTGTTCCTCGGCAAACTATATCGGATCATGATTATTTGATGAGACTGTCAGAGCGTACTAAGCTCATAATATCCCTAAGAAATGCAGAAAGACGACGCTGGCAAAGAACAAGGTGTTACAGTCATAAAATGTTGTACAGATTTTATGATCGTATAGTTAAGATGGAAATTAAAGAATCCAGAAATCGGGCATGGAATCAATATTTGTCCTCACTAGACAGAGCTTCGAAACCTTTTTACAATTTGTGTAAAATACTCAAAAAAAGAAAGACTAGAATGCCAGCTATTTCCTATAACAATTCTACCTTAACTACCGATTTAGAAAAGGCTAATGCATTAGCAGATTTCTTTGCAAGTCAAAGTTCTCTGACTGATAATTACAGCGATGTTCTAACAATGGATGCAGTTCAACGTTCAGTTGACGGATTACGATCACTGGCAATTACGGACTATTCTTTGATTTCTATAAATGAAATTATAGATATAGTTACAAAATTGAAAATCAAAAAAGCACCGGGTAATGACGGTATACCAAACATTGTATTGAGGAACTTGCCAAGGACAAGTTATAAATTTTTGGCAGGGATTTTCAATAGCTGTCTGGAATTAGGATATTTCCCTAAAATATGGAAAGATGCCATAGTAATCTGCGTCCCAAAGAAAGGTAAGAATCAAACCCAAGTAGAAGGATATCGCCCAATTAGTCTTTTGAATACTATAGGAAAAATTTTTGAAAAAATCATTAAGCAACGTCTTGAGCAAATTGTAATTCGAACGAATTTTCTGCCTGATGAGCAATTCGGATTTAGAAAAAACCATTCAACGTCTCATCAAGTTTGCAGGATTAAGAACATTGTAAAATCTGAGCTTGAAATGAAAAATTCAATTGGAATGATCACACTTGACATCGAAAAGGCATTTGATTCTGTATGGCACGATGGTTTAATACATAAGCTCTTCGTAATGGGATTTCCATCATACATCGTCAAAATAATATTGAGTTTTTTATCTAATAGATCCTTTTCAGTCAGAATTGGAGCTACAAAGTCTGAGACAACAATTATCACCGCCGGAGTGCCCCAGGGTTCTGTGTTATCTCCATTACTTTACAACATTTTTGTAGCTGACATGCCGAAACCACAAAACTGTAGACTAGGACTCTATGCGGATGATACGGCTTTATTGACAGCCTCCAAAGATCCCACTGAAATAATAAATCATCTTGAAAATGGATTTCTAGAAATAAGGAATTTCCTTTTCAGGTGGAAAATAAAGATAAATGGCTCGAAGACAAAGGCTATTTTCTTCACTAGGAGAAGAAAACAACGTTTTCTCCCGAACCGTGTTCTTACCTTGGATGGAAACCAGATAGAATGGGAAAGGGATCATATCACTTATCTGGGGATTCATCTCGATAAAAAATTACTTTTTAAATCACATGTCGCAAGGACTGTCAACAAATTGGATCTGTTTATAAAAATACTTTATCCAGTTATTAATAGGAAATCTTTGCTGAATATAGAAAATAAAATATTAATATTTAAAGGGGTTTTTCAGGGAATCCTTTTGTATGGTCTTCCAGTATGGAGTTCAGCTGCGAAAACGAATTTAATATTGCTTCAAAGGAAGCAAAATAAAATTTTGAAATTAATTCTAAACAAACCTTTTTATTTTTCGACTCGAAGATTACACGAAATGGCCAAAACACATTCTGTTTTCGAGCAAATTGATAAAATGATGTATACCTTCCAGGAGTCGTGTTACAATTCTAGCAATCCTTTAATAAAAGAATTAGTAGAATAGTAATGTTAGACAAAAATAGGGTTAATTAATAGATATAAGTACTTTAAAAAATTTAGTTTGAAAATAATCTAGGTTTTATATATAGGAATAAATGTAGAGTATAAGTCTTTATTTTTAAGTATTTTATCTTAAAATTTTCAAAAGGTTTTTTCTTGCCGTTTTCCTTTACATTGAAATTAATAAAAAAAATCTTAGTCTTAAGAAACAAAAATTATATAAAGCTGTAAATACTAAAAATGTATGAACTCTTAAAAAATATTTGTAGTAAAAATGTACAATCTAATACGTCCTGGCAATAAATAAATAAATAAATAAATAAATAAATTAATGCTATATACATTATCATACATGTATGAAATAACATCATTCATACAAGTCATACAAGTAAATTATTAAGATAAGTACCTAATGTTCTACAAACATTTGCATTGCAGTGTTATATTGTAAAATACAAAGTATACAAAGCTTTAGTTGTATTTTTGTGTTTGCGACAAATGTTGTAATATGATTAAAGTAAATAGGTGCCTATTTGTGGAGATAAATATGATACGACCACCCGATTCTTTTAAATCAACATTAATGTTTCTTAACTACAGAGTTAATCCTTAAAAGTTAAAATTTTTTTAAAATTATTAAAAAAGAAATGTGTTTTTCCGTACAAATTTTGTGATTTAAATCATACAATTTAAACAATGGGGTATAATTTGCAACTTTTACTTCCTAACCATTTTTGTACATGTATATTCTTTTTACATGTAGACTTTAATAAAGAGTAAAAGTAAAAGAGAAATTTATTCATCATTATCACTTTTAATTACTATCCCATAATTTATTTGCGAATTAACAAGTTTTCTATTCATTGAAAGAAAAATTCTTATTAATTTTCTTCTATTTCTCACAAAATCTCTTTTAAATATAATTAAATTGAATGTTTTCCCTTTTTTACTCTTCATTAAATTATATACAAACAATAATAACAAAAATCAAACCTCAAGTAAAAGAAGAGCATATGAAAAAGAAAAAATATTTTCTTTTTAAGAAAATTAGTTTTAAAGTTGAAGAGAAAAGGGAAAACTTAATCAGCCATTTTCTAATTTCTTTTGATGGCAACGTAAACTAAATAAACAAAAATCACATTAATGCCGCAATGTTAATGTATTGCATTTACATACATATACATATGTACATATTGTTGTTGTAAAATAAAACTACAGAATATTATCAATGTTAAAGTAGAAAATTATGCAAGGAAAATAGGAAATAGCAAAAGCAATATTATGCTATACGGTAAAAAAGAATACGAAAACTATTATCTACTATCACATGCTTGTATTAAAATGAGAAAACTAACATAAACGAAAAAGGACACTAATTTAATTACAATGTCACCAAAAAATAACAAATATCATTAAACTGGACATTTAACTTACATATGTTGTCTGTCCATTGTTAACTAAAGATTTTTATAATAGACAGTTATAGTACTCGCGCATAGATTTTTGTTTTAACGAAAAATTATTTCAACAATTTTAGGCTGATTAAATTTTTGGTATGTAGTAAAATACATTCGATTTTCATTGCCTATTAAGAAGAAGAAACTAAAATTTTCCGGTTTTCGTTGTCCTTTATGTTAAATGTAATAAATTTCAGTACTATTGGAAAGGAGAAAAGATTTTTTAAAAACACAAAGAAACAAAATATTAATTACAAAAAATCTTTTAGTGGAAAATTCTTCAAACTGATTGCATACATGTATATGTGTAATGTGTGGAATTTTTCTTCATGTGTGGATTTGAAATAGATTTTTTTCTTGAAGAAGAATAAATATTATTCAAACTAAAATAAATAATTTTTTTTGTTTTAGATGCCTAAGGAATTAAAACAACGTATTCAAGATTATTTCCAAACAAGCTGGTCTTTAAGTCATGGAATTGATATTTATGAGGTATGTTTACTTATATTTTTTCATGTGTACATATAATTTGTATACGTAATTTTAATAAATTTGAGTAGTAAAGAAAATTAGATAAAATATTAAATAGATTTCTGGTCGAGTAGATGAATTTTGGAATTTCTTATATGATTTTACTGTCAGTAACTTGTAGATCTTTTCAATGACTCATGTTAAAAGGTCTTGTAAAATCCACAACAGTGACTTCAAAATCACATATAGGACAAGGTACACAACGACGATTTTACCGAAAAATTCAAATATTAAAATATCCTTTAATAAAATATCCTTTAATACTTTGAAGTATAGCAGTACCTATTATATTTCGATATTTAAATATAACAGTACCTTGTGGAATTAAAGTATATCTTTTGAAAATGCTTCAATATATACGTGACTTTTAAATCAATAAAGTCTACTATACATCGATTTTACGTAGTTTGTACAGTAAAATCACGCACACAAAAACTCTTTCGGAAAATTATTTATTTTTATTACTTAAAAATTAACGACCAATCATTTAATTCGCTAATTGACAAAATGCATTACCATAAAGCTACCTCTGAATTCAATATTTTACTTAAATCACGTTTTTCTTACTTGCATTTATACTTTTACTTGCTTGACTGCAATAAAATACTTGTTTCCTTTCTTTACCTTGATCAACTATTTTAATTATTAAAAGTTTTTCAAAATTATTATAATTAGATTTCTTAATTCATTTTTCTATTTTAAATAAAAATAAAATGAACTTTCTCAATTCTAGAAAATAAATTCTATATAAATACTTCAAGATTAATTAAATAATATTATTTTCTCAGAAAATTTTTTGCAAATCTCTTGTGAATCTCTTCTAGAAACGAAAACCATTAAATACTTTAAATTTAAATTATACCTTAAGGATTATTTACTAGCTTTTTTATGTTGTTCCAGAGATTAATAATAAGGTAATGGAGTTATTGTTTTCCACTAACAATATGGCGATAAACTATTATAATAAATATGAAAATTCTTCTCAACAAAACTATATTTTAAATACAGAAATTTTTTATTTTAAAACTTCTTGTCGATATAAAATTAAATCCACTAAACATTATTTCTTTAAGTATCTTATTCAACTTTTACACAATGCATTACATTACAAACGTTGAACGAGATCCTTACATTACAATACGTTTTATTGATTACATATTATTTGGTTGCTTTAAAATGCCTGGCTTTCAAATCAAAATAGGAGCATTGAACAATTGCGAAATTTATACAATATGCATTAATCGATGTAATTTAGGTTTTGAATGTAAAATTGCATACAAAAAGTTAGCTAAAATTCCTTGGTCTATTAGGAATCCATATTTTAAATGTGGGAAAAATTTTATATGCGTGGGTAAAATTTTACCCACATATCAATATTATACCTTTTTTTTTATCAATATTTGTACCCACATTTCGGGGAGAATACTAATAATCAATATTAGGCGTTCAACATTGATTTCCGAAGTCGATTCCGAATAGTTGATATAAAACAGGTATAACACTGATCTCTAAGGAAGATCATTTAGAAGCCTCAAATGTGAATGATTTTTAAATATTGTTCTTGTGTCTCTGTCCGTTTATGTTGAAATAAAGAAAATTTTTAGAATACATTTACAGTAGAATAATATTGATAAATTTGTGATTTTAAGATTAAACTTTATTTCCTTATCCTGTATATTTATGTGCACGACTTATCGTAGAGGTTTATTCAAGTTTATGATATAAAACGTGATTGTTTTTCAAATAACTTTAAAACTTGATAGTTTACTATAAAAATCCATAAATATACTGCTGATAAAAGAAAACTTTTAAAATTTTTTATAAAATTAAAAATGAAATGATGGAAAGAATTTTAAATTATTGCTTATTAAAGAATTTTTTTCATAAAAAATTCTTATAAAACAAATTTATTATATGAAAAAATAACAAAACTAGCTATATAAATTTTTTTATTTTTTTTAATTAAATACGAAAACATGTTTCCTGTTGGAATTTAAGAACGTAATTTATGTTTTCGTAATTCTTGCCGATCTCATCCTTAGCAATTTCATTTTGAAAAGAAATACCAAAGAAGAAATAGCATTCTGGTTTACCATTTAACACTACTTCTATCTGAGTATTGAGGAAAATGCAGAATTTTTAGTATCTTAAAATTTTATGTGAAAAGCATTTAGTTTAAAATAAAAATTTAAAATTTTTGCATTTAAAAGCAAGAAATGCACAATAAGCAATTTGTAATAAGCAGTAATCCATTAATATTTAATGCATTTATTGCAATTGGAAAAAAATGCAACCATATAGCCTTCTCTTCACTATGTGCTATAAGCTAATTAAACTTTTCATTTGTCTTTTTTAAAACTCACTTCTAAAAAATTTAAATTATTGTATACTCACACTTTTAAATGTTTAAAATTAAGTTGGAATGTCCTGCTTCTGAATAAAAAAAAATTTCTGTTTGAAATTTGAATTTAATATTACAGTACAATAAGAGAGAACCACAACAGATAAAGTCAAATGTTTGAAGTCCTTGAATATCACATTTAAATTACTTAGGGTTTAATAACTTTTCTTAACTTTTTTTTAACTCAATTCTGTTTGTTATGCTGCTACATCAATATGTACGCGTATATTTTTGAATAAACATCAAATTTTTTAACGATTTTTCATCTCTCTTTGCCTGTCCATGAGTTTTTATATACTACAGCTGATAAACCGAAAAGTCATTTCATTTATTTATGAAAATATTCAGGCTATCTGGACCAAATGTAAAAAAATTTTTTTTTTTTAGCAAGATAACTTGGTTTCTAAAATACTACAAAGGAAATAATGTGAGCTATATACTCGATCACTTTCATGCAACTCGTGCAAGTGCCTAAGAGTTGATTTCAGCGAATGTCGAAAAGTAAACAGTTTTCACAAAATGTCCAAAAGCACCGTTATGTCTCGCACGAATAAAGTTATACCCTATTTTCGGATAAAGTCGGACAAAAAGAAAATTTCCCTTTTAGTGCTTTTAGCTCCTAAACCGGTTCCGAGAGAGGCTCTTTTGAGAACCGTTTTGTTTCTTACACATAAATCACATAAATGTATACTCGTGGACGTTATGCCAATGCACTACTGCATGAAACACCATGTATAATTGACTCATATTCATATATTGATTTGTATGATTATGTGCCTAATTCTATATTGATTCCATAACAAAAAGCTCTATTGTTAGGATCCTCAAAATCTATCACATTATAAATAAAGCCTTGGAAGACCTTTCAAAAATTCTTAATAAAAATTGTAGTAAATAGCTAGTTTAACAAAATTATTCTTATTCTTAGAATTTTTTTTCAAATATCTCAAAATTAAATTCGTACTTGTAGGTTAAATATCCATTTTCAGGTAGACCTTATTACTTTGACCTTATATATACAAAAAAAAAAAACAAATTCCGTTGATTTTTATTATGCAAAATTCATTACCATTATCGTCCTTTAACAATATAAATAATATTGTATATAAAAAAAGTTGAATTAAAATTCCTTTAATATATGAGTTCATTCAAATTGATATGAACCGAATCTATATCAACATCATTATAGCAATTGGACTGTAAATTAATTTGATTTTTCTAAAAATCTTTAAAAATGTCAATAAGTCTTTCATTTGAAAATTTATTTAACCTGAATATAATATTTATTTTAAGATTTTAAAGTAAATAGAAAATTTACAAAAAAATAAAAAAAAAATTATTTTCATTTTTCAATTTCTATAATTGACTGTCGCTTCTTTCTCCAATCATCTCTATACCATTCTCTACAAAACAAACTCTAAAATTCATGTCTGTATTTTATTTATATATACATATGTAGTTATACGTATGTAGTAGACGTGGATTGTATTTATGATCTATACAAAATCCTTGGAATAAATTATAAATTTGATTCAATAAATTTCTCCTTCAATCCCCCAAATTTCTAAAAATATATGAACATACCATAGCTATATTAGGTAAGTAATGTCATTCAATTGATTTTGTTGACAACAGCATAAAATTTTCAAAAAAAAAAAACAAAAAAACAATTTAAAGATATTCTTAAAATGAACAATTTTATAATATTTATAGGATCAAGTTTGAAAATAATCTAAGGGGTATATAGAAAGGAGGTTGAGAAGATTTAAGTGGGGAAAAAAATCTTAAAACAAAAATTTAGTAGTAACCACCGTAAACAATAATTTTAAAGAAATTCAACACGAGTTCGATAAAAATAAAAAAATTCAATTCAATATTAAAAAAATAATTGAAATGTGTGAATGCATGCTGAGCATGTTTAATGTCTTGCTCATACACAAGTTCTTATTGAAAAATATTCAAAAATTTTTAAAAATTTTTCATATTTATTCAAATGTTGAAATTGTATTCTCCTCGTTTTGTATTAGTTAAAAAAACAAATTGGAATTTCATTTTCTCATACCATTTTATTTAAATTATTAATTTAAAATAGCTGAAAAGCAAGTTAAAACGCCTTAATAGTCCTTAAGGATACAGAAAAATACAAAGAAAAACAAAATTTCTTGTGTTACAAAAATATTTTTTTTTTTGTAATGGAAAAATAAAAATTTTACTCAAAATTTAAAATTTAAATTAAATTTAAATTTTATGGGAAAAAAATAGTGAAACTCTTAGCCCCTAGTTATAGAAATACAAGAGAAGGGAAATTTATTAGAATCAAATCAATAGTGTTTCTATATCAAAAATATTGCATACTTAAGGATGGGACCGTTAATTAAAAGAAACATAACATAAAGTTCGAATCAAATGGCTAGTTAGGTCAGTGAAATCAAATAATTATATTTTGTGACGGGACCGGGGATAAGGGTATGGGGAAGGTTCATAATTATATTTTAATTTGCACATAATTATGTAAAGGTGAAAGGTGTAAATTATGTAAGCATTTTCTTTCTGTCTTTATTAAGCAAGATGCCGATAGCATATAGAACAATATGTCGTGCCAATAATAATGCTTAAGCCTCTTATTAAATTTTAGCATCACAATAAGTATCTGTCATTATAAATTTTTTCCGAGGAAATGAAAGCAATTTTTTTAAATTTGCTTGGAAAATTCAATTAATTAAAAAAACACTGGCGGCCTTATTATTCTTTAATATTTTATAGATATTTTGATAAATTATAAGAAATGTGATTTAAATAAACTATATTACTAGGAGATCTTCCCGATTTAGCTGTACAACCTTAATTTACTTGTATGGCCAACTTATTTTCATTACAAATTCATTGAACCTAATTAGATTGCCATTCTTATAAAAGTTGGCGATTCCAAGTACTCTATAACGTTATTTAATAATAATATTTTATTAAATATTCAAAAAAGTGAAATGTTTTATTAAATTTAAAATAATTTTGAATAAATTTAGTTCCTACAAAAATCTTATTCTTTCACTTTTACGACTAAATAAATAAAATATAAATGGGCTCGTTTGTGATATTCGGATTCATTTTTCGAAAATAATTTTTCGTTATGATTTCTTCGTTATATGTATTTCTTTGGAGTTCCAAATTCGTTTTTCTTTCAAAATATTTCATTCATCTCATTAAATTTCACTAAATGAAAATTTCCAAAAAAAAACATATTTATCTTATGTTTTCATTCTGGTAAAGAAAATTTGCCTTTTAACTAAATTAAATTGTTTGTTATTTTTTAATACTTGATATACTTAAAAAAATTTTTGTAATAATCACAATTAAATTTTTTATTATTTTTTACAGACGTTGAAAGAATTCCCTGAAGAGCTGCGTGGTGATGTGTCAATGCATTTACATAGAGAAATATTACAACTGCCGATATTTGAATCAGCATCACAGGTAATTATATAGAAAATTGTTTATTTAAGACAAGTATATTTGAATGTTTTAAACTGATTAATTATAATTTAAAAAAATTGTTATATTTCTAGTATAAATAGTGTACCGTATTATATACTTATATAATACATGTTGTATTTAATTTTACTGAATACTTGGATTGGAGGGCAAAGTTACTTTGTTCCTTCCTATTTGATTTGCGAATAAAATTTAGATTTTTATAAAGATTTAACTTTGGTATTGTCTGGTCATTATGTTATACTATTCGACACTATCAATGAAATTAAAAATTAAATTAAACCAATTAAAATTAGTAAATTTAGAAATAATAGAATTACCAGTGGCAAATTAAAATTTAATGTCGCCTGTTGACTATTTTTCTCTGCACGATCTCGCGTATAACTTCAATCAAAACACAGGTTGAATAATTTGATTAAATTTAGTAGTTTTTGTTTTTGAACTGATATAGTGTTCGAGGTAATTTTTCGTTTACGTGGTCATTTAAATATCTTCGTTAAAGGAAGTGCGTGCTATCTAATCGGGTAATCGTTTTTATTTATTGATTAAGATAAGCACAATTTATTTTTATATTTATATGCAATATCTTGGAGTTATATGCCACACTTCTAAAACCCCATTTTCTATGTATCCCACTGAAATTCATATGGAACGTAAGTTATTGACAATCCTTTGTTATAAATTTTACTTATCCTATGAAAATTTGAAATATTGAAAGTATTAACTACAGGAAAAATTTATTCGGCATTATTAAGAGAAGTTAGGAAAATTCGGACGGTAGTAAATGATCGACACGACCATCTATACTACCGTATATGTAACGTAAACAAAAAGACAATAAAAATATTATATTTTTTAATGAAAACTTTTCGTATTTAATTTTGAGCTACAAACATTTCGATTACAAATTTTTAAAATCCAAATTAAAGTTTAAAAATTTAGAATTCACAGTCAAGGTATATGAAAATGGGAAAAATGAAAAAACAAAATTTCTTACTTTAAACAATTGATGGTTCTGATTTTGAGGCCATATATCGTTCACAACATACGCTTAAGATAATCCCGATATTATTGATTATATACTCAGTGAAATAACTCCAACTTTAATACACTGCATTATACAATTTATTTATTTATTTACAACTCAATATTATTATATATGGAGAATAAGTAAAAAATTAAATTTTTGCTGACAAAAGTCTGGGTATAAGATTGTTATAAAATTTTTTATATTGAATCAATTATATTTTAATATTATTATTCATAGACCAACTCTTAATATTCCAGTTTAGAATATACATATATATACGTACACAGTTCTTTTCTTCAAACAATGTAAATTTCCAAAAATAAAGGAAAATCCTTACTTTTATTTTAGATTTAGCTGTCAAAGTCAATCCCCTGTCAAGTAGTAAACTTTTTTTATGCTCACATTACGTACATATATATTATATAAATTAAATGTACATATATGTGTATATGTATGTTTGAATTTATTTGAGACTACATACATACATAAATTTTATATTATATTTTTTTTTTTATAAAATATATTGAAATCAATCGGGGTTATTCAAGTTACGTACTAAAATTTTATGTTTAACATTGTATATAACATACATAAAATAAATACCATAAAAACCTTTTAAACCTAATATGCATATACTTAGGCCCCTTTTATGCGAAATGATTCAATTAAATTCATTTTGAAATATACAAAGAAATTTTTTGTTAATTTTTCCAATTTCCACAAGAAGCTCTTCACAAGTGAAATGACTTTCTTATATAATGAAAGGTATAAACTGTTATTTCGGATATTTACTCATATTTTTATGCAATTGATAATTCACACCTTATGCGAAGTAGAAAAAAAGTAAAATTACTTGCTAATTTACGATGTTGTGCATTTTTATTGCCGAGCTGCAATAATAAATGTTCTGTATTAACTTACCGAAATATTCATCATCTTGCAATTCAATTCGCGGAATCACAAGTCCCTCGGGCCCTTACATTCAGACGAATTTTAATATCCATAATTTTCCAAAATATTTACATTAAATTTTTAAATTTGTCATAACATTCCATAAGACCAACAATTTCAAATTATGTTTATGAAGAAACTACTCATCCATTCTTGCATATAAACTATTTTCCACAAAAAAGGAAAAGAAATCGTAAAAATGCTACACATTTTGCCAGTAACAAACATAAACTAAATGTGTAAATGATGTTTCCGATTTGTTATTTTTTTTCTTTCTTTTTTACTCCTGTTTGTAAAATACAAGCCTATAGAATATATTACATTGAAAAAAAAAAAAAAAAAAATTAGAGGAAATAAATCATTTTATATATTTTTCTTGCAAATTTATTTTATCTTTGAAATTTTCAATTTTCAGATGTTAAATATTAACAAAACCATAAATGTCCGATAAAAATAAAAATGAAAGCTAAACCATTTTGAAACAAAAGAAATATTAATTTTGATGTAGGATTTAGTTTTCCACAATAAAATATTTCATAGGCTTTATACGAAATAAGAAACTTGAGAATATGAAATTTAGTATGACTAACATAAATTTGTTTATCTATGAAAAAATGTCTTTTATTATAAAAAAAATTTGAAATTGCTATCACACTTAATTTACAATTAAGAAAAAAAATATTGCATACTTTCAGGGGAAATGTTTTTTAAAGATTTTACAAAATATAATTAACAGTTGAGACTAGAGAAAGTTTAAAACAAATAGAATTTTGAAAATTATTTTCTTAACTCAAAACAGAAAATTAGAAATTGTAGGACTCAGCTTTATTAAATTGTAACAGGCTGAGATGAAAATTCATTAAATGTTCAAAGTTTAAATTTTTCAAATTGAAATTCTTTTGAAATAGGTAAATGCGGCCAATTGCATTGTGTTTAAATCTCAATTCAAAGTATATTTTTAATTTATTGTAAAATCTCTTGATTAATGTACTAGGAAGAGTTAATATTTAACGCACATTAAACAGAATTTAATATCTATGTCTAAAATAAGTGCTTGAAACAGTTTAATTCCATTTAATTGATTTTCTTTCTGACCCATCGTATTAAATGGAGACAAGCGTAGAATTTTTTGCACATTACAAGTTGAAAAGGATTTGTAAGACTTTTAATTTTACATTTAAATATTGCGTAACGTAAAAAATCATTAACACCAATGATACATTACAAGAAAGAAAATTTCATGTGGTTTAAAATGAGTTCAACCGACTTAATCTGCTTACCATATTTTCCGAGCTGTTATGAAAAATGTAACAATATTCGTCTGTTTTAAAAAATTTTTGATCCAATATTAAATTTGAAATCCCATAATTTGACATAAGCAAAGCGATAAAAGAGAATGTTCTATTATATGTATCAATAAGTGTACCTTTTCTAGTTCTCGTACCAGATTTATCTAATAATGCTCAAAAAGCACAAAATTATTCGATACAAAATTAGTTAAGACCCTTTATATTCGAAAAAATAAATCCGTAATTTTCTTAAATTAGTTAAAAATTATTTCACAAGATAGTATACAATCTGTTCTATCGCATAATGCAACTGCTCTTCAAACATTTTACGAATTCTATACGATTAAAGCAGTAGCAACAGTGAATATAATTAAATCAACATATTTCCACAGTATTCATAGATCGTTTATCATATTCAAAAATTTTATACCTATACTAAAACCGTATACCAATAAATAATTTTTATTATATTTGCAGGTAATGTGCAAACATAAAAAAAAAGTACTAAAAACTGTTTTAAGGTTTCAATCACCTTTTACGATTGGCCTATATTCAAAAGAAAATTTGTTATAAAAAGCAAAAGAAGAAAAGAACCATAAATACATATATCAGATTAAATAAGAAAGAAATAAATTTTTAATGTTTTATTATAAAAGCAAAATGATACTGAAAAATAAATTCAATTTAAAACCAGATAAAGTTCAGTTGGACTTATTAATTTGACAAAGGATAATATTTTAACTTTTTCTTTTTTTTTTCTTTTTTCTGTTTTTTTTTTGCAAAACAATTTCATCAGCTTTTCTGGAATATATCCCGTATCGTTTGATCTCAGAATTAAAGGATATTATTATATAACATATTAAAGCTTTTGAATTAAAATATATATGTACACACGTAGCTACATAAATTATATCGGTTACTCAATGATTATTATTAAATTTGACTTTATTTTTTTATGTATAATTTCAATAAATTTAAATTTATAAGTAAAAAATATCAAAACGTTTGATTATTTTTTATGAAATTGAATAAATTCTTTATTCAAAATTCAATATAAAAATATTTATTAAATTTCCCTATAATATTTTTAATATTTTTTTTCATATTCTTTGATTCTTTACAATGTTAAATGCTATTATAAAAACGCTTCTCGAAATACTAAACTATTTAAGTTGAAACACAATATTAAAAGGATATTGTGGTCGTTTTTGAGTATTTAATTTTAAAAAAATTTTAATGGCTCAAATTGCTATTTGAATTCTTCAATATTTATTTCACCCATTTAAAATAAAAAAGTCTCCATGGTTATGAGTTAAATATTTGCTTGGTTTGCTCTTCATCAATACGATTAAATTGTTTCACTGATATAAAAATTGAAGAATTTAAAAATTATATTAAAAAATTTCATTCAAAAACAAAATAAATTTAATCCTTTCCAGTATTATTGAATTTTGTTACTATCGAATTATACACTGAAAAAATTTTTATCTAAATTAGATATTTTCATTACACAAATAGATGCAAGCTATGTACGAAATCACAATGGCCATAGATAATATTTTCTCACAAATTTATTTCCTACCTCTTTATAAGATTAAATTATTACTTATTTGGAATAACAAAATTTCTAAATGGGCTGCACTAATTTTCTATATGTTTTGTAGCCAATTTTAAAATTTTCGAAAAATTGGGAATTAATATTTATAGTGATATTACAAATAAATTTTTTCTCATTTAGAAATGTTTTTATTTGAGTAACGATAAATTTGTGTCCATCACAATATTTTTTATTAACAAAACAGGGCTATTGCCAAAAGAACTATTATTATATCTTTATTACAACATTCTACAAACTTTAACTTCGAATTTACTGTATATCCCTTTTAGTTTTATTTTATCCGTATAATTGATATAATTTTAACGAATTTTACTATAAAAAGTGTTGAAATATGCTTATGTTATGGAAAGACAAAAATTATTTCTGCTTTGAGCAACAATATTACGAGTTATCAAATATTTTATTTGCAAAGCAGAAATATGATCTTTGAAATGGTTTATGACCTCTTTAGATATTCACTTTTTTTCCAGTGTACATTGTTACTTGTTAGTACCTTTAGTAATTCGAAATTAATCAAAATTCAAAGCAAATACACATTTAAATTTTAATATTCAAAGTAAAATAAAAATTATAATATTAAATTAAATTTACTTTTGATTACAGTTAGTTTTAATTCAAAGTAATTGGTCACTAAAATAAAAGAAAAAAAGTACAGAATTTCTGAAAATCTGTTGAAAATTGTTTATTTGAAAAATAGAAAAATAAGTGAATAAATAAATCCTTTTTTTGTGTTTTTTAAAGTTAATTTTTAAAGTCTTAAAAAACTCTTGTCTAGACTATTCAATTACATTTTTTGTTTTCTTTTACCTTTTAATAAAATTTATTTAAACATTTTGTTTTAAATAAGAGTAAGTACAATGTAAAGGTTATCAAACACAATCCGAGTACGTTCAAATACAATAACACTATTTTTAAGAGGATTTTAACTGAAATCTTTTACATTAAAATTATGATGTCTTTTTAATAAAATTAATGAAATTTTAATAATTAAAAAGAATCTACTTGTAGCGGTACAAGTAAACCTAAGCTGACCAAACCTTGTAAATCATAGGTTGCAATCAAATTCAATAAAATATCAGGTAGTCTGGGAGTGGGGTACGAGTATTTGCAAAAACTCAAATATTTTTCTAAATTTCACGGAAATTGTAAAAATGTCTTTAAAACTTGTCTTTGAAAATTTATAATAAAAACAAAGATTTTTGTAAAAATTTCAGCTAAAAAGCAAATAAATTGGGAACGGAACAATAATTTTAAGTGCCTAAAATATATGGTTTAAGAAAATGACTTAGCCAGAAATCTTTTAATATAACTAATATTTACAAAATGTTGTTCCATTCTTCCAAACCGAAAAAGCAATACATAAAAATTACTTTACACTAAAAATTTCCTTTCAATTTGATTCAAATTTTTCAATATTTTGAACGACCGCATATTATTAATGAACTTCAGTAAAAAAATGCTAAAATATTAAAAATTCGAAATATCATATCGTAAAATATACTACCAACAATTCTGAACCAATCATTGTCAACCACATTTTTAACCTTATTCAATTTAATATATTTCCATCCACACCTTTTTCAAATATTCAATTTATTCCAAATTAACTACATGCATAATATTTGTAACTCGTAAATGTCCTTTATACTTTTCAATATAAAATAAAATTTTAATATTTATTTTATTTTTTCCATTTTCCAGGGTTGCCTAAAGCTGTTATCATTACATATTAAAACAAATTTTTGTGCTCCTGGTGAATATTTAATTCATAAAGGTGACGCATTAAATTACATTTATTACCTGTGTAATGGTTCAATGGAGGTGGTAAAAGACGATATGGTTGTAGCAATATTAGGTGAGAATAATTTTTTAAATAAAATGACAATTTTTATGAACCGTGATACTCTTATTATAATACTTCTCGAATGATTATACAATTCAACGTAAGTCCATACAAAACTATACAAAAATTTGTATATTTTTGATAGATCTTGTTTCCTTAGAATTGAAGTGATTATTTATTTGACTCCACTCAAAATTAGTTTTGACCAAAGTTAACTTTAGTTTAAATGCAACACAAATTTAATTATATTCGAAAAATTTGAAGTAAAAATAACTAAAGTCTAAATCACATTCTTGTTTTTATTTCCAGGTAAAGGTGATCTAGTTGGCTGTGATATAAATGTACATTTAGTGATAACGTCAAATGGTCAAGTAACAACTACAACTAATAGTGCTGGCCAAGAGATTGTAATGCGTAGCAGTAGTGATGTTAAGGTAAAAGTAAAATTTTAAAATTCAGAACCTTTTTCTACATAATATGAAATGGAGTAATATGTTCAAAGTGTGAGCATTTATCTACTCACACAAAATCTGAAATTATTATTTCAAATGATACAAAATTCAAAATTTCAAAACCTTCAAAATTTTTACAACAAAATTGAAAAATGACAATAACATTTCATACACAATGTATGTACATGGGTTGAAAGCCTTTTACAAAAATAAAATAATCTCAAATTGTCAACAATTCAATCCGTAAATTTCCATGAAAAGTCTGAAAATTATTATTATTAATGGAATAAATTTCCACTTAATTTTCATACTCAAATAAAAATATTTTCATGATTTTTTCTCACTTTATCTTTTTTCATATATGTATTTTTTTTTTTATTCGTATGTCTTATACACAAACGATCAATCATTCATCTGTAACTTTTAAAGGCACTGACGTATTGTGATTTAAAATGTATGCATATGGCTGGATTTCTTGAAGTTTTAAGGCTCTATCCAGAATATCAAACGCAATTTGCTAATGATATACAACATGATTTAACATTTAATTTACGTGAAGGATATGAATGTCAGGATTCTGATATAGGTCCTTCTTTACCATTGCCGTCGATTAGTGAAGATGATGAAAATCAACCTGATAATGATGGAGAAGGAACAGGGGGAACTGCAAATGCTTCACCGCATCATAATATAGGTGGTAGTCCAGCGCTTTCACGACATGGTGGTTCACCATTATTATCTGTTAGTCCACGGCATGGACGTGGTCATTTACAAAGGGGTCGGTCATTAGCTGCACTAAGAGAACGTGTTGAAAGACAACGATCTGTTACTGTTTCATCATCCAATGAAGCAGAATCAAATTCGTTAGAGGGTCTTAACCTAGAATCCGGCGGTACTGGAACAACTGCACACGCAGGAACTAATAAACATTCAATGGAGCGATTAGACTCTCAAGTAAGCACTTTACATCAAGATGTCGCCGTTTTAAGTATAGAAGTACGAAATGCCATACAAGCTTTACAAGAAATGACATATCAGTCACATTTAGCATCACAAATTGATTTAGGCATTAATCGATACCCTGCTCGTTCAATTCCAAATATTTCAAATGATTTTCAACATTCAATGGATGAAAATTATATACAGCAGGCTCAATTAATGGCTAGAAGCTCATCTCATCCGCCAGAAATTTGGGGTAGAGAATTACAAGAAGCTGCTCAAGCAGCTGCTGCAGCTGGTCATCCCCAAATGTTAGAAATAATGAACAACTCTACACCCGAGTATCAGCAGCCACAACAACAACATCAACAACAACCGCAAAACTTAATACAACAACCTGCACCAGCTATTACTAAATCAACTCAAACCGATTTAGTCAAAATTGACTTTCAAACTTTTGAAAAGTTTGTTCTTGCCAATCCAAGATTAGTTTTAGGCCTTTTAGGTATTGAACCAGCCATAAAGACTGAAATAGAGCTATTACAGCAAAGTCAAATACATCAAGTATCACCATTAAACACTATTGAAGAAGTTAATTCACCTGATGCATCAGAATATTTATTTGATGAACAGTTGTCAGCATTAAGTGAAGAACAATCTCCATTACCTCAAAAGGGTAAACTGTCCTCTGAACAATCTTGGACATCAAGGAGTTTAAATAGTAACGATGCTGAAAATTGTCGTTCAACTGATGCTCTAATTGAAATAGGACCAGATTCAAGTGAAAATCTTTTAGAGGAAGATACGCTTAATGAAATTAGAATAATTAGAGATAATAATGTAGTTGTACCTAATAGCAGTAGTTTCTCAAGACAAAAATCTATTTCAAGTAGTAAACATTCGAGCAGCAATAATAGCATATCATCAAATGATTCAGCATCAAATGTAAAATATTTTGATACAGAAAATTCTCGTCAATCAAATGGTCCAATTTCAAGACGTTCTTCTTGGAAAAATAATAATAAAAAGGATTATGAACGTCTAACAGAAACATATGATGATTCACCCGAAAAAATTGCCATCCATAGTATTAAAGTACAACATCAACAGTATAAAGATGATTCCATTGGAAAAAAGCGAAACTCAAGAACTAATTGTTCTGATTCTGGTATAAATGGTAGCAGTAGTATTGGTACAACAAAACGTTCAAATTCAAATCAGAATCGTGCACCTGCAAATTATCGCTTTTCGGCTGGTGATGCCGATAAATTAGAAAAGGGTATGAAAACTTTACCATCAACGAGATCATTAAAAGAAAGCTGAATGCTATAAGAATTTAAATAAGTAAAAGGGAAAAAGATCTAAGAAAAAAAAATGCTTTGTATTATAAAATTAAAATATGTAAATTTTTTTTTTAGGACTTCTTAATAAAATACACACAAAATTTTCACTCACAAATTATACATACCTCATGCATTTTAATTTGTGTGTACTTTATACAAAACTACATTTATTACATACATCTAAAGAGATACCAATACTATATAGAGCACAAGTCTATCTACGAGGTGTACGACTGAAAATTAGAATTTTCGTAGATTTCATTTTTGAAATTATTTAAACATTAGTGTTATATAACATGTATGTATTTATAATAAATTTTGTGAATTTAAAAAAAAAAAATGAAAAAAGATAGTGCGCACTTTTCGTAAAGGTTACCCGGGAAAAAAAGTAAGTGCGACTTGTGAAAATGAAACACTTCCTACTTTAAAGAATATAGTATTCACAATCTAAAATCAGCATCTTTCAAATATATTGCTTCGCACAAAAATATTATAATTCAGCAATATTGTAGAAGCCATTATTAAAATCAATGTACAAACGCTTACACCTAAACCTGTTATTAGAACAGAAAACAAAACTTAAAATTTAATTAAATAATTTAAAAAAATTAATAAAATAATTCAATAAAATTGCCATAAGTAAACATTTTTTATACAGAATACACAAACGTACCAATGTTTTAATATACATACAACGTAATGTTTCACTCGACTTAAAGTGAAACACACTGTAACAGATTTTAAATTTAAAAAATATTCAATTACTTTCAATAAATTTGAGAAATAATGTATTCAAATCAGTACAACAGACATTATTTTAAAACTATTTCTATTATTTTTAAAGTCTCATTTTTTTCATATATAGAATAACCTGGAAAGAAATTATTTAAATCTCAAATGAAAATTTAAGGTCCAAATCTCCCACCTAAATTTTTATATAAATCTCATACAAAAATATGTACATAACAAAGTAAAAATTCTAAGAACTACAATACAAAAAAACAAATATTATTCTTATACTTATTATTCACCTTTATCTCACCGACCAGCGACCCACCTAACATATTACATAGAGAAAAGAAAATGATAAATAAATAAAATAATTTAGAAAAATAAAATATCAATTCAGTTGCTTAGTAGAGGATTTTTAGAAAACATTTAAAATAAAAGACAAACTTTTAAAAAGTAAATTTAAAAAAAAAGAAAATAAATTAATGAAATTTAATAGTAATGTTAAAAGACTAGAAAAAGGTCTCGGCCAATTTTACAATAGTACTGCGAAAATCAAATTATTTCGATTTCATTTGAATGTTTCTATAACAAAAAGTAACTACTTCTTGTGTTATAAATTTTTTTTTATTGAGAAATTGTTTTTTCCAAAGCAAATCTGAAACTAATTTTTAATTTAATTCGAAAATAGTACAATGAAACTCTGTAGCTCAGTTAACTGACTAAAAAGTTATTTGACTTTGTGCAATGTTTATATAAAGCTAACTCTTAGTCATGAAGATTAATGAGACAAAAATACTCTCAGGGGCCTTATTTTTTGTAAAACGATTTTCGTATTCAGAAAAATGATAATGTAGTATCGTTTCACAAAAATCGAATTACATAGTAAGACCCCAGTAACTAAAACATGGTTTTAAAATAATTGCATTAAAATATTTTAAATTTTTTTCTTAAAATGTAATTTAAATATAAAAAACTTTCATTCAATTTCAATATTGCTAAACTAAATTGTTATAGAGAAGTAATGTAGAAGTGATATGTAAATTGAAACAATTAATATGAAGAAACTTTTACATTCTTAAGCCTCATTTTCATTAACTTCACCTTTATTCATATTTTAATCAACCAAATTTTTTATGATTCCTGTGTACGTATCGTTTTTAAAGTATAAAACTGAAATTGTAATCGAGTAAATCTTTATAAGGAAAACATTGTTTTTCTAGAACAAAATTTTTTTATGTTTCCACTTCGACTCCCGGGTTCATATCATTACCATAAAATATCATTTTTTGATTCCATATTTCTATAGTATTGTAAGCTCCATAAAATTTCTATGATTAAAAAAATTTAACAATGATCATTATCTTACCAAAATGTAGCAGATCCATAGGTAAGCTTAAATAAGTTTTTTGATTTATTTTACTGTATTGCTCATCCTAAATGCATGCAACCGTATAGTGGTTATAAGGCATGTTATTTCTTAAAGAAAATAAGGGAAAAGTGTTTCTGTTTCTTTTATTGTACTTTATTCGACTAAATACAATTAATTTTAAAAATATAAAAAACAAATATAATTTTGTATAAAAGAAAATATCAAAAAATAATTATTAATAAAAAATGTTTTCTGTAAAACAAAAAAAAAATTTTTAAATTTTAAAGAATTTCAAATAAATTACAAAGAAAAAGTAAATTTCTCATGTTTCGATGTTTCAAAGAAGGCCTAAATCGTATGCTATGTTAAAAATACAAAAAAAAAATAATAAATATATTCTAAAATTTTATTTTAGTTGCTTAACATATTAAATTATGAGAAGTTTTTTTGAAAAATTAGAGAAAAATGCCGAATAATTATTCTATTTAAATTTGGGAAATGCCTGTGAAATAATCAAATTTCTCACTGCTCTTCCTTGAAATCACTTGGAATATTTTCGTTACTGCTTTTTCTTGAAATTTAAATTTGAAAAGAACATTTGCTTTTCAACATTACAATCAAATTGAATTTTAAATAAACCTATTAATTTTGTTGCAATATGATTGAAATAAATTTACAAGAATAGGCACAATCTGCATGCCAGTTCATATCTTATTACTGCACACTTTATCTTTAATAAATTTAATCTCAGATATTTTCATTTAAAAATTCAAAAAATTAATTTTTCTATAAAACTTCTTATAATTTATAAATTTATTGTAGAGAAAATTAAATTAATTTTTAAAATTTGAAGTGACTTTATAATTTATTAACTTATAAAATTAAAAATTATAAATTTATATGTAATAAAATTGTTATATACATGTAATACATAGACATATTATAAAGTCATCTGCATATACATTTGCATGTAGATAATAAATAATTTCTATAAAAATTATTACAATATTATTATATACAAAATTTTAAATGTGATTTATTAATTCTTAAGTCAAACGTAAGAAAATATAAAAAATAACAAAAAAATTAAATTAAAAATCATGTATCATATATAATAATATTTTAAATCATGTTAAATAAATTTAAAATTGTAATAAAATAGAGTAAAAATATTGTATATGAGAGAATGAAAATTAATTTAAATTATTAAAAATAATAAAATCAGAAAAATGTCAATACACTATAATAGCTACTATACTTAACTTTAAGATAAATTCAAAATAAAAATAAATTAAGAATTAAAAAAAATAAATTGAACGAATTAAAAATTTCAGTATTAAAATTTATTGAAAATTTAAAAATTAGATAAATGTTATTTTAAAAAAATAAATATATTAAATATAAAATTGTAAATTTAAAAATAAATAAATTATTAAAAAAAATGATTAAATATTAAACTATCTAAAATTATAAAATTTTGCCAACAAGCGAAAATAATAAGGTATGAATTTAAACATGTATGAGCTACATACAGATGAACAATTGTATATTTGATGTACAAAATGCCGCCAATTCTAAAATAATTAATAACAATAATTCAAATATATAAAATTGCATTCTTGGAATTTTATTCATTTAGTTCTTATTATTTTACATCGAACATAAGTGAGCCTGTAAAAATAAGTCTTTCCGATAGCCCACCAGACGCTATAAATTTTATTTATTTTATGTTTAATATGCTTTTTAATCAATTATTCAATTTCATATGAATAGTAATATATTTTTCAATTAACAATATAGCTTAGAGATTTCACCCTTAAATGGTGTAATATGTGTTCATTTCCACAACACAATATGCATAGATATTAGTTTTTAACCTCGAAATTGTGGGAACAGCAGAATGTACTTGAATATTTAAATTAATGATCTTATATATTAATAATACCTTCTGTATTTTTTAGAATTTGTTTAATAATACCTAAGTCATAAATTTTATTCAAGATTATTCAATTTAAATAATTTAAAATTTCTCTTTCAATATTTATTTTCAATCGCAAAAATAAAAATGTCTACATGCTTAAATTTTACAGGAAATTTTTTGTTATCATTTCTTTTATACGTTTAAAAATTTCTGTAAGCATCCAAAAATTTTAATATTTTTACATTTTTAAAAAATATTCAATAAAATTTTATTGTTGTCGTTATTTTTACAAGAAAAAAATTTCAAGATAGAAAATTAATTGTATACCACAAGTTCCGTAATATACAGTTAAATATTTTCTAAATTCAATTCACAAATTTTATGTCAAGGCTGATAATGAAAATTTTAAAAGATCGCAATATTGCAATAATGAAACTCAAAAATACACTTTAAAATGCCAAATTTTCAAATTTTAGATAGAAAGTACATTAAAAATTAAAATAACTTGTTTAATATCAGAAATAAATCTAAAGTAATGAATAGAAAAAATTAAAAATATTATACATTATACACACACAAATAAATTATAGTAGATAATAAAGTTTTAAAAACATGTTGAAATAACTTCAAAATTTTAGTACTATAAGACTTTAAAAAGAAAATCAGTAAGTAAAAATAGGAATTAATTAAATGTTCTGTGAGTTTTAAGGAATTAAATTCAAATAAAATTTATTTTCAATAGAAACGAAAAATTTTTTGTGCATTTTTTAATTAATATTGGAATATTTTATTTTAAATAGGCTGCAATCTCACTTCATTTCCATAATTAAGAATTAAATACTTCAAATATGGGATGACGACATTTAAGGGTTCTTATTGTATAAATAAAATTTCCAGCTTTTCATAAAACGTAATTAAAGGTATTTAAATGCAAGCAGATAATTCTTTTAGGACATTCAAGTGTGTCTATGCAATTCATTAACATCACTTCAATGCAATATTCTTAAATTCTTGGAATACTGCTCTATATGGTGAAGTTTGTATACAAACATAGAATAACAAAAATAAATAAATATTTTAAACGAGCTATTTAAATAAAACAAATAATTTGGAATATGAAAAGTAAGCCTCTCAATAAAAACAATTATAACAACTTGATACTCACTAATTCATCACGAAAAATCACTAATTTTGAAAAGGCGAGGAATAAAAACTATACCATTTTATTATTCATATACCTGGCACTTGAAATCGCTTTCATAATAAAAATTTCAATAAATTCTGCTACCCTCTTTGACTGTTACCACATTTTAAAGATTCCTTAGGACAGAACCAAAGTGTTTTTATTTCAAAATACCTTATGCACACCATAATTCCTTTAAAACAATTTTATTTTAATAAATTTTTAAATTATCTCAATTTTAAATCCTATATATAACATTGCACATTGAAAAACATTTAACTGAATCCCGCAGGTTGCAAGATTTTCGATAAAAATTTTTATTTTGGAAAACAAAAAAAAAAAACAGCAAAAAAGGAAAATGAATTTGTAAACAAAAAATAAATTTTGTAGCAATTTAAATTCTCGCTATAAAAGTTTTCCGAACGTTCAAAATTTTAAAAAGAAAAAGGAGTACAAAACTTGATAGATGTTTTACGTAATTGTATCAGTGACAATTTCATAGAAATTTTTTGAATTTCCGAAATTGCATAAATTTTAATTCATTAAGTTCAAAACCGATTCTTATATCAATTTAAACCCAGTTAACAGTAAATGGGGAACATACAAAATTTCATCTAAATTAGCAGTCATGTTGACTTAAAAATTACGATTCCTATAGGTATTTTATTACCGACCGTATTGTGTAAACAATAGGTAGGTTATGTGATGGCAACAAATTTTGCATATCGAGTTTTCGGTGGGAACGTACTTCTCCATAGTAGGGAAGTGTAAATAAACTATTTTTAGCAACCTGTCGGTCTGTCGGTCTGTCGGTCTGTCCGTCTGTCGGTCTGTCGGTCTGTCGGTCTGTCGGTCTGTGTGTGCACGCGTGTATCTCAAGTTCGGCTGAACCGATTTTGATGAAATTTTATATGTAAGTTTGTTTCCACCATGGCACGGATCGATCAACTTTTGGTATATATCAGGCCTCGGGAACTGCACTTTTTAGCGGGCCTGTTTTACATTTTTGAACATTTTGAAGAAAATATTCAATCGATTTACTTGAAATTTCATATATAAGCTCAGCTCGACCGTCCGCAAAAATTCGTATGTTTTGGAAGAAATCAGGCTTCGGCAACTAGACGTTTACTACGGGCCAAATATACATTTTTGTGTATATAAAAAGAAATAATCAACCGATTTCATTGAAATTTAATATATGAATTCCCCGTATTAAAACAATGAACATGTAAATTTTTTTGGAAAGATCAGGCATCGGCAACTAGGCGTTTACTACGGACCAAACATACACTTTTGTGTATATAAAGAGAAATAATCAACCGATTTCATTGAAATTTAATATATGAACTCCTCGTATTAAAACAATGAACATATAAATTCTTTGGAAAGATCAGGATTGAATTGATTGAGAACTGATTTACGGGCCGATTTTACATTTTTCACCATATCCACAGAACAAATTGATGGAATTTCTTGAAATTTGATATTTGAGTTCTGGTTGTTACCGAAACTAACTGGCGAGCATTTCAGGGAATTCGAGTAGCACAAAGCGAAACTCTACTAAGAGACAAATTTACATTTTTCTAAGTATGTTAACTATAAGCTTACTAATGTCATAAAAATTGGAAAGAAGTATTTAACAGACATTTTTATAATATTCTGTAACACTTTCATTTAACTAGACAATACACAATGCGGTCGGTTATGTGCTGACCACATCAGATTTTTTTTATTTTTTTCTATTATAGACCTTCTTTTACAGTGATTTTATTGGAAGAACTAAATAGGTTTTTTATTCTTCAAAAGAAAAATAGAAATATTTTTACCTAAAAATCTGGAATTATTAAAAGGAAATTTATTTAAAATTAAAATCTTGGAAATAAAAAGTGGCTCTACTAAAAATTCACTAATTGATAATTCCATAAATTCCATAAATTATTAATACAATAAATATATTTTTAGTCAATTCTGCTACACCCAGTTCACGATTTCATACCTTTTAGAAAATCTATTCAACTCACTTTATAAATAACACCTCTGATACCATTTAAATTTCAATATTCTGCTGCATGTCTTTAAAATAAGATGGAAACATCCCATCCTATTACATAGAGCTGAAAACTCTTAGCAAGAATAGGAAAAATACACCCCCGCGTAACTTTCACTTTTTAACTGATTTCATTCAAAATAAAAGAAAAACTAAAACAAAATTCGCATATTTAAAAGGAAAAAAGGATAAAAATAAAAATTTATTCTTTCATTTTTTCAACATTTTCATTTGAATGGTAAACAAGAAAACAATATCAAAATTGAATCCTTCTAAATATTTTATTATACGTATACATATTAACATCCACACAAACTCTTATATATGTACGTACACATAAAAAGTATATATTTTGGTATATTTACCCTTATAAATTGAAATGAAAAGGTTCAAAATTAAGTTTCTTTGATTAAGATGAATTAGTCTCATCTTTTGTATCATACATAAACATTTTTATTTAGACAATATTTTACACTCTATATAAATATATTTATTTCAGAAATAAATAAAAAAATAATGCAAAATTATTAGTGAAATTAGCTATAGAAAAACTTTCAGTTTTCATCATACGCATATTACACATTTACATATTGTTATACGGAATTAGTTACTCTGTCTGAATTATGTACTAACGTAAAACTTGAGTGTATACAATTTATTTAACTTTTAA